ATGGTAAATTTTAATTTCTTACCATTATGTATATATGTTATTCTTGTTATGTTGAAAATGTGTGAAAAATATTCTAATTAATTCTTAACATGTACTAAATAGGTTTTCTATTTTGATCGTCTACAAAGAGGATGGTTAGAAAAACCAAGTAAAAATCCACTAATATCGTTGTGGACAAAGGAAAATATTCAAGTGAGATATAAGTTTGAAAAAGATCATGGATTTGGATAAGGAAAAATCTTGAAAAGAATGGAATAAAATGTGGTATGATATTTGTATATGCTTATGTTTAAACACTACACTTTATATTCTATCTATATTTTCCCACGTTCTAAATTTTACCCTTTATGTTCTAAACTATATACTTTATGTTATAAATTGTTTTAATATTTACCCCTATATATTCTAAACTTTATATTTAATTTACTTTTGCCTATGTTCTAAAGTTTACCCTGTACGTTCTAAAGTTTACCCTGTATGTTCTAAAGTTTATTCTTTACGTTGTAAAGTTTATCCTTTATGTTCTAATCATTCAACTTACTTTTCCCTATGTTCAAAAGTTTATCCTGTATATTCTAAATTTTACCCTATATATTCTAAAATTTACTCTTCATGTTCTAAAGTTTATCCTTTATATTCTAAATTTTGTAATTTATATATTATAATGTGTAGGAAGAAAACAAGAAACAATCAAGACAAGAGTACAAGGAGAAGAGAAAGGAAGAGTCATCAATGGTAACTATACCTTTTAAATTATTACTACATATGCTTATCTTTTAAAAATTGTAGACACTTTATTCTAACCTTTATATTCTAATCTTTAAAATTTATGTTGTTTTCTAAATTTTGTAATTTATATACTAGAAGGCACTAAAAAGAAAAAAGAAACAACCAAAACAAAAGGACAAGGAAAAGAGAATGGAAAATTATCAATGGTAACTATACCTTTTTAATTTTAACTACATATGCTTAACTTCTTAATATTGTAGATACTTTATACTTTATGCTCTTTTTATTTTAAGTTTTTATGCATATGTTTTAAGATTTGTATTTTATGTTTTGGAAGGCACACAAAGAAAAGCAAACAAAAAACAAAGGCAGGGAGGGAAGAATAGAACAGCCATCAATGGGTTCTAGTTCTATAACTTCTCGAAATGACATGATGGTATAATGTTTAAATGTTTAATTATTTATTTACTTATTTATATTCTCTTCTTATTATGTTCTAAATTATCATCTATGTTCTAAATAATCCTTCAAGTTCTAAATAATCATTTACTTTATGTTCTAAATTATATTTTATGCTTCATTTAATCCTTTAAGTTTTAAATTATCCATGTTAAGTCCTTTATGTTATAAGTTTTCCTTTATATTCTAAATAATTTTTGTGTTCTAATGAAGGGCTTTTTGAACAAATTTGGAGATTTGGCAAAAACACTTGCCTCGAATGTTAAAGAGATGTATGACATGTTAGAACAAGCAAAAGATCTTTTTGTTGAGGAAGAAACAACGGGAAAAATGCAACATCTCATAAACAACATATGGTGCAAGTACACAACAAAGGTATTATAATTTTGTTCTAAAGTATTTTTTGGTTGTGTCCTAAATTATTTTCAGCTTATATTCTAAAGTATAATAAATTTTTTAAATAGTTCTATTAAATTCATATAAATTTTATGCTTATTATGTTCTAAATTATAATTTCTTATTTTATAGACATTCGTGAACCAAGAAGAAGGGAAAGAAATAAAGAAAAGCCCTTCTATACTTAGTCAAGATCAACATTTCTTCGATAAACCGACATTTATTGAAGAATTGGATATGGTTATGGATAAGGCATGGAAGAAATTCGAGTAAAAAAGGTCACCAAAGACACCGACAGTTGGTAATTTCACATGTTCAAACTACATGCTTAATTTCCAAATTATATTTATGTTTAAAATCAGATGCTTATGTTTTAAACTCCTTTCTTATGTTCTAAAAGTTGCGCTTAAATCAAATGCTTATGTTTTAAATCAGATGCTTATGTTCTAAATTATATGATTATGTTCTAAAGTAATTTATTATTTTCTAATTATTTTTTGTTATGCTATAACACTTAATTTTTATGATCTAATTGTTATGAAGATTTGAGATCAAAGGAAGAGGAAAAAGATAATAACAAAGAAGAGAGAAATGAGCAGAAAAATAAGGTGAAAAAAAATGATCAAACAGTGTGCAAAATTAGGAGAATAAAGACAAAAATTTGTTGATCCCCTCACCAGTAGTTGGTAATTTCACATTATTTTCAAATTCATTTTTTATGTACTAATATTTACTAGATATGTTCTAATGTTACTTCTTATGTTCTAATTTTTTTCTGGTTATGTTCTAAAGTTAATTCTTAATTTCTTATATTTTAACTATTTCTAGGTTGTCTCCTAATTGTTTCTACTTATGGTATAATAGTTACTTATGTTCTAACTATTTCTAGTTTTTGTAATAATTGTTTATATTTCTAATATTCTAAAACTACTTTTTATTTTCTAACTATTTTTTGCTATGCTATAATACTTAATTTTTATGCTCTAATTGCTATGAAGATTTGAGATCAAAAGAAGAAGAAAAAGAGAAGGACAAAAAAAAGAGAAATGAGGAGGGGAAAAAGGAGAAGAAAGATGATCAAAACTGTGTGCAAAATGTAAAGAAGAAAGAGAAAAGGAATGAGGAGACACCAAAAACCCCAATTCCTCCAAAAAAGAAGCAACCTTTTGATACAACTCCTCCAAGCTTTAACTTGTTGACCCCATCACCAGCAGTTGGTAATTTTACATTATTTTCAAACACATTTCTTATGAACTAATATTACTAGATTTGTTCTAAAGTTACTTCTTATGTTATAAATTTTTTCTGGTTATTTCTGATGTTCTAAATTTTTTCTAAATTAGATGCTTATGTTTTAAACTACTTTCTTATGTTCTAAAAGATGTGTTTAAATCGATGCTTATGTTCTAAATTATGTGCATATTCTCTAATTATATGATTATATTCTAAATTATGTGCATATGTTCTAAATAATATGATTATGTTCTAAATTAGTTATGTTCTAAATTTTTTCTAGTTATATTCTAAAGTTACTTTTTTTGTTCTAACTATTTCTAGGTTGTGTCCTAATTGTTTCTACTTATGCTTTGAGTGTTACTTCTTATGTTTTAATAATTACATTTTATGGTCTAATAGTTACTTATGTTCTAAATATTTTTTGTTATGATCTAAAAGTTACTTCTTATGTCCCTTCAATTACAGTTGTCCCAGAAAATCAAGAAGATAATGAAGCAGAACTCACTTACGAAGAAGTGACAACAAGTGTTCTTAATTGTTCTTTTCTGAATCCAGATCATCCACCTACATTGGATGAAGAGAAGAAGGAAAAAGAGAAGAAGAACGAAGAGGAATTAGAGGAGAAGCAAGAAAAGGAAAAAGAGGAGAAGAAAGAAGAGGAAAAGGAGAAGCAAAAGGAGAAGAACGAAGATAAGGAGAAGAAGAAAGAAGAGGAAAAAGAGGAGAAGCAAGAGGAGAAGAATGAAGAGAAGAACAAAGAAGAATAAAAAGAGAACAAGAAAGGGTAATCATTTTGTAAACATTAGACCTTTCGGTTAGAAATATTTAGAAAAGTTAGGTTAAACTTTAAAACAAATGTTGGTTATGGTTTAGTTAAACTTTAATTTAGAACTTGGTAATAATAAATTTTGGTTTGATTTGGTTATGGTTTTTGTTATCTACGTGATATTTTTTTAATTGAACTAAGTAGGAAGCAAGGAGAAGAAAAGGCACGGAAAAAAAAAGAGGAAAGGATAAGTTTCCGATGTACTTGCCTTCACCTTTCATGGTTGAACATGAAAAACTTTTCAAGAATGTGGATAATAGAAAGGTAGCTGAGTATGCTTTTGCTCAAGGAGATAATAAGTAAGACATTAAAACTTTAAAATTATATGCTTATGTTCTAAATTTTATTCTTATGTTCTAAACTACATGTTCTAAGTTATAAGTTATGTACTAAACTATATGCTTATATTCTAAAATATATGTTCTTAGTTATATGCTTATGTTCTAAATTACATGCTTATGTTCTAAACTATATGATCTAAGTTATAAATTAGATCTTAAGTTTATATTTGTAGACAGATATTTGCAAAGAATATAACAGTACATTTCTTTATTGTTTGATAGAAGTTACTTTGATAGAAATTTGTTAACTAATAACAGGTCAAAATTTACCCTAATACTAATTCTATCTTCTTATGTTCTAATTCTTATAAAAAAAATTACTAATTCTATCTTCTTATGTTCTAATTCTTATAAAAAAAAATTTATGTTCTATGTATTTCTACCTATGTTACAAGAAATATATTGTTGCGATCATGTTCAAATGTAATTAGCTTAGAACACAAGAAATTATGGTGTTGATAAGAAATTATACAAATTAAAAATTAAAAATATAAGCAACTTGGACCATAGAGGCTAAAATTTAGAACATAAAGGAAAACTATAGAACCTATTAATTAGATTAAAACATACAATAAACTTTAGAATATATAGAATAATTAGAAAAAAAAAATATATGATATTATGTTCTTAATATAATTAAAATAAAAATTACACGAATTTTTTCCCATGTGCAAGTAAATGAGATTATTTCTAAAAATAAAACGTCTCATGCGATTGTACTAATTGCATATCCATTAACCTGAAAAAAAAAATTAAAAATAACTACAACATAAACACATAAAAATATTAATAGAATATATATATGATAAACTTTAGAACATATTAGATGCATTTTAGAACATATAAAAAATTACATTAGAACATAACAAAATGATATGAAAGGCATTTATTAGATTAAAACTCAAAGTAAAGACTTAGGACATTATTGATAACCTTTAACACATTATTATATAATAATTTTAGGTTATAACTAATTAGAAAATAAGAAAATAAAAAAATGTTTAATTACAATATTACTTGACTTTCCCGAGACAATTGCGACTATCATGATGGCCAAGCTCTCTACATGCTCTACATAATCTTTTCTTCTTTTGACTTTGTTCAACGGCTTTTTCTCTGTCACTCTTCATTCTCTTGTCACTATTTGGAATATGAATATCATTTGGAACATGAACCTCATTTAGAACATGGACATCATTTGGAACATTGACCTGATTTGGAACATGAACCCCCATGTCTTTGTTCTTCGAAATTTTAGGAGGTTTGATTAAAAATTTAGAAGGTAGACTAGCTCCAATAAGCATTTCAGTATCTTTTGCTTTGGTAGAAAGAGTGTTGCTTGCATTAGTGGTTTTCTTATGTCTCAAATCCATCCTCAAAGCATGAAGTTTGTTGACAAGATCACTAAGATCATCTTCATTGTTTTGCACTAAACTCACACAAGCATGAATTTCGGACCACAAATCATTGAAGAACATCTTCTTATCTTCTGCATTGATACATTCCTCCAACACATTACCTTCTACATCAAAAATTGGCTTCTTACAAGCAATTGTAGTCCATCTTTTTAGAACATAGGCCTTGGGAATTTTTTCTAACATCCTAGCCTTCCATACCCAAATCATATGCCTACAAGGAATGCCTTCACGTTCAAACATTTTACAAAAACACTTGATTTCTAAGGTAGTTGGATAAAAAATAACATCAAAAGTCCTCCTCCTAGATCCTTCCCTTAATTTGAAAATGTAAAGCTCATTGTCCTTTTTTTATCTCCTCAAAACCACAATTAAAACATACAATTTCAAGCTCATATTGAAATTCATAGAATATTGTTGTTGTAAACAACTCGAAAGCATCTTTCTCTAAAAGAATTGGAGTCTTACACTCCGGACGCTTATTTTTCGAATCATTATCATTTTATTTTGAGTGTGCCTTTGAGCATCCAATGCACATTCAAACCTATTGAAAATAGAAATTAACTTTAGAATATAGAAGATAACTTTAGAACATAGAGTAAATTACATTAGAACATATAAAAATAATATATATGACATGCTTATTATGATCTAAATACTCATAAAGAAAAAACTTTTCAACATGTAAGACAAAATTTAGAACATAAAAAAGAGAACATAAAAGTGATTTATAAAATAAATAGTAAAACTATAAAACATAAAAAAAATAATAATAAATAAAAACACTTTAAAGTATAAAAAGAAAACTTTAGAACATAGAGAGTAACTTTAAAACATAGAGAGTAACTTTAGGACATATTTAGACAATTACATATTACCTCATGTAGAACTCAATCAAAGTGAGATGGAGATTTGTGAATATAGTGAAAAAATTATTTTCACTTTCTGATCTAGATGTGGTCCTCATAATGCCACCCAAAAATAAATATCTGAAATACACTAGAATCCACATATAACGTATATTGTACATGTGCGCCAACCATTCATGATCGTTCAAATGGAATTCAGAAAATAACTTTGTTTCACATTTCTTCAAATTTTGCCAGCTCAATCTCTAAATGCCAAATACATGTACAAAGTTTTTTCAAAAAATCAGTGTCTTGGGCAATTGCCCGACCTACTTTTTTAGGAACCATTTTCATAATATGCCACATACAAAACCTATGTTCTGTAGTTTGAAAAACATTACGAACAACAACTTTCATTGCAGGGTCTTGATCGGCAATCAAACACACAGGCTCGTTATTTCCCATTGCTTTAAGAAAAGTTTTGAAAACCCATTCAAAAGATGATATATCCTCATGAGCTACAAAAGAAGCTGCAAAAGTAACACATTTCTTATGATAATCAACTCTAGTAAATGGACCAAAGATCATATTATATCTTTAACATACACAAATTATATATGCAGAAAATATTAGAACATAGAGGTAAACTTTAGAACATAGAGGTAAATTGTAGAACATAGAGGTATACTTTAGAACATTAAGGATAAACTTTAGAGCATGGTAATTTACTTTAATTATTAAACTTGTCAATAATATAGTTGTTTTAAAACATAATGAATTACTCTAAAACATAAACAATACTTAGAATATAGAGTGAAGCTTTAAAACCTAATAAGTAAACTTTAGAATATATAGACATAATGTTTAGATAACAAGACATAATGTTTAGAACATCAGAACATGATGGATATTAGTTTAAAACACAAAGCATAACACAAAAGCATAATGTTTAAAACATAAAAGCATGATGGATATATTTTAGAGCATAAGGCATATATGTTTAGAACATCAGCAATATATGTTTAGAACATAAGACATACATAGTTTAGAACATAAGGAATATATGTTTAGAACATCAAAACATGATGGATATTTGTTTAGGAATACAAGGCATAATGTTTAGAATATAAGAACATATGTTTAAAAAATTTAGACGTAAAAGTAAAATTAGTTAGATTATGAAAGAAATTTACATTTAGAACATCACCTGTTTGTTTTGAATGTGGTATCAAAAGAAACCATATCACCAAAAAGTGCATAATTTTTTCGACAAATAGGATCAGCCCATAAAAGCTCTACAAAGTCTATCTTCTTCATCAACATCATAGGAAAAAAAAAATCACTCTAGAGCAATTTCTTATTTTGAAAATTATCCACAAACATTTGGGCATCTGATCCATCAATATAAGCCTTCAAATCTCAATAAATTTTTTTGAAATCTCGTTTAGATGCACCAACATTATCATGTGATCCAACTAATTCTTTTATCATAGTATAAGACCTCACAGGACCAACATTTACATGTTTACAAAAAAAAAAAAAAAAAAAAAAAAAAAAAAAAAAAAAAAAAACTATGACTAAGTATCAACTTTAGAACATATAAAGAAAACATTATTTAGCACATAAAAATAAATCACCTTTGAATTATCAACAATCAACTTCAAATGCATAATATGCATTTTTCTATTACCCTTCTGAAATTTTGCATAACTTGGAGTATATAAAGAACGATTATGTTCTTCTTTGAAATGAGTTACAACATACTTTCCGGCATCATATCTCATACATATTTGAGCATTGCATCCTACATGAGTGACTAAACGTTTCCTAGTAATACGAACTTTTCCTTCTTCATCAACTGTTTGTTGAGCAATAGGTTTTCTTATTGCCTTGAAACCTTCTTTATTGCAAACTCCATATTGAAAAGCAATTACATCTTTGTTATTTTTCTTCCTTTTGGTAGTAGATTTCCTAGAAGTAAACTAAACGGCATTTGCATATGCTTTGTACAAACTAAGACCCTCTTTGAAATCTTTAAATATCATTCCCAGACTGGGTTTTAACTCCTCGGGAACACTTCGAATTCATTTCTTAGTGGTACCACCAAGACTAAATGATCCAACAACCTCAGGAGTATCATAAATAACACCAACTGCATTAGAACATGAAAGTAAACATTAGAACATAAAAAGTAAAATTTAAAACTAGAAGGTAAGCTTTAGAACATACAATGAAAGTGATAGAATATGAAGAAAACATTAGAACATAAAAATAAACTTTAAAACATAAAGAGAAAGATACATAGAAAACTTTATAACATACAGAGAAAACTTTAGAACATTAAGGATAAACTTTAGAACATAGTAAATCAGGGACATACTTATAACATATTGCTTTAGAACATAGTGAATTACTTTATAACATACATAATAAAATTTAGAATAAAGTGAAAAAATTTAGAACATAATGAATTACTTTATAATATAACAATAAACTTTAGAATTAAGTGAAAAAACTTTAGAACATATAATAAACCATAGGTAAACTTTAAAATATAGCTGGAAAAATTTAGAACATAGAATAAAAATTTTAGAGCATGTAAAGAAACTTTAGAACATGCAAGTAAAGTTTAGAACATGTAATTAAATTGAAATTAAAAGCATTTAAAACAATTAAAGTTACCTGAATGACTAACAGAGGAAGAAGGAGAATTATATTCAACATCATCTAAATCCATGAATATGCAAAAACCTAATTTCAAAAACACAAATTGGAGAATAAAAATTAAAATCCAATAAAATTGAAGCAAATAAAAAAAATCGAAAAAAAATCTTGAAAAAAAAACGAAGAAATCTGGAAATAACATCGAAAATAATCTGGAAAAAAAAAACGAAGAAATCTAGAAATAACATCGAAAAAAATCTGGAAAAAAAATCGGAAAAAAAAAAATCAAAGAACAAATCTAGAAAAAAAATCGAAAAAATAAAATCAAAAATTAAAACAAACAAGTTGAAAAAAATAACAAAGAAATCTAGAGATCACACAAAAAAGAACAGAAAATCGCAAAAAGAAGGAAAATTGGGGAAAAAACTGTAAAATCGCAAAAAAAAAAACATAAAAAAAAAAAAATCAAAACAATCAAGGAGTAAATTTCATGCAATTTTTTTAAGAATCGATAAACTTATCAAGTATATTTTGGTTGATGAAGATGCTGAGGAGAGAGAAAATATTAAGGAGAGAGAAAGAATAACCTAATTTAGGGTATTTTGCTAGAAATGTAGAAAAAAAGTAAAGAATTACAGAAATGCCACTACTAAAGGATCATTTTAGATGGTTAGATCATAACTAATAAACGGCTGAAATTGATTTTTATATAAGATTGGGTTCTTATATAGAGGAGGGTTCTTACATGAGCATTCATCTATATAAATCCATACATTGCATAATTCCACATAAATATTAGAGGAGCATTCTCTACATATATAGTAGTTCCCTTGAAAATTATAGGAAAATCATTATATAAATCATAATGTAATTGGCGACAACACATTGCATAATTCCACATATAAATATTGGAGGAGCATTCTCTGCATATATAGTTCCCTTGAAAATTATAGGAAAATCATTATATAAATCATTATGTAATTGGCGACAACACATTGCATAATTCCACGTATAAATATCGGAGGAGCATTCTCTGCATATATAGTAGTTCCCTTGAGAATTAAAGGAAAATCATTATGTAAACATTCTGTAGAATGCTCTAGACATTACAGTAGATCTAAATATCTTGCTTTTTTTTTTTTCGTTTTAATTCGAACCAAGGAACCAAACATTAGAGCAGTAAGCTCCACAGTCGGCTAACATTTAATCTTACAGACTAGACAAAAATATCAGTTATTCGATGCCTTACTCCCCTTCTTCCGGGAAGCTTAGGGCGTGTCAAGGAAACCTATGAACAGTAGAAAAGCTGCCTTCATTATAAGAGAATCTAAAGAAATTAATGCAAACTTCACTCCCAAAAATTCATATAATAAGAGATACCAAGCAGTTAGATAACAATTTTAAAACAAAACATGTTTACAAGTGATAAGATGGGCTAGCCCGTGAAGCACCAGGCGCAGGCATTGGCATAGAAGTGCCTGGGGCTGGTGAAATCGGAGCAGAGGCATATGCAGGCATAGGAGATGATGTATATGTCTGACCAGGAAACGTGCTAGGTACTGAAACAAATGTTTGCCTTCCATGCTGCATCGATGGGTCCCATGAGGGTGCAGGTGCCGCATGATTCTGAGGTGGCATGTTAGCACCATTACTGTATCCATTTGAAGGATATCCCGCACTTGTTTGAGGGTTCATCCATGGTGCTGCAGGAGCTCCGGGATAACTAGGAGC